TAGTTACTAGATGATATTCACTTTCTTCAACCGTCTTTCTTAAATACTAGCCTCTTTCTTTTTTCTCAGATATATAGATGCTGAACGATTTTTCTCTTTCTTTCTCTTTCCCTCTCAGTGTTATGGCCCGGTTCCTTGTACCACGGTGATAGTCCAAGGTAGAACCAATAAAGAAGAACTCGAATACGGATAGGGAATAACACAGATATATTACAAACAGGAATATATACAGAGAAGTAGAAAGTGTTAGTACGAACAATCAGGTTTAGTAGTAATTGTCTGAACGTGACTCTGTTTCGGACTGCCTCTGACTCGACTGACTGACTCGCTCGTTCGGACTGACTGACAGACTCTTGACGGACTTCACTCCAGACTTAAAACTGAACAGGGCATCATGTGGCACAAGGCCGGTTTAACGTGGGATCTCCGAGCCCGTGGGATCTCCGAGCCCGTGGGCTCGGCCAAAAATATGCCCTTTGAACCCGTTTAAACAGGTTCAGGGTCGGTTTACCTCCCCGAAAGAGACTCTGCCCTTCGGCGTAGCCTCGTTCGGATTCCTCCCCGCCAGAAGGCAGAGAGTTCAACCGGTCAGCCGGTCGCCCGACTTCGGGCTGAACTCCCTGCTTCCTCTTGAGGCGCAGTATTTATTACGCATGGAATAGTCCATTATGTTGTTATGGGTAAGGTCCCATAACTCTCAGTTAAATGCGATTTCTCTCCCATCTAAATAGATACTAGATGTCTTTCTCCATCTTTCTTTTACTCTCATTCACTCTCTCAGATAGATTCTAGACCACACGTTGTCTCTTTCTTTCTTTTCTTTCCCACTCAGATAGATATAAGATGTCTCTTCATCTTACAGATAGACAGACAGTAAAAGACCCACTCTCATTCTCCCTATCTGTCTCTCTATCTCTCTGTCGGATAGAGAAATACTCTTTCTTTCTCTCTCTCTCTCTCACTCTCTCTCTCTCTCTCTCTCTCTCTCTCTTATCAAGAGTGATATTAGGAGAATCTCTTTCATATAGATACTAAACCATTCTCTCTATCACTCTCAGCTAAATAGACATTAGACAACTCCCTCTTTCTTTTTCATTGTCTGTCACTCAGATAGATACTAGATGCCTATCACCCTTTCTTTCTCAAATATATAGATCCTAAGCGGCCCGTCTCTTTCTCTCTTTCTTTCTTTCTTTCTTTCTTTCTTTCTCATTCAGCGAAGTAGATACTAGACCACCCTTTCAGATACATAGATATTAGACTACCCTCCCTCTCTCTCCCTCTCTCTCCCTCTCTCTCCCTCTCTCTCTCTCTCTCTCTCTCTCTCTTATTCATTCTAGTATAGATACTGATGACTTTGTCACTTTCGCTCACAGATAGTAGGCGTGGATCTCTCTCTCTCTCTCTCTCTCTCTCTCTCTCTCTCTCTCTCTCTCTCTAAATGGTTTGGCTTTAAATAACCTATAAAGGGTCGATAAACCATAAAAAACAAATCAAGCAATCAATCAAAATCTCAGCCACGAGGTGATCCTCACGCTTCCTATTTTTTGAATACTAGACGACTCCCTTTCTTTCTCTCTCAGTGATATATGTACGCTAAACGACTTTCTCTTCCTTTCTCTTTCTTTCTCTTTTTCTCTCTCAGATACTAGACGTTTCTCCATCTTCCTTTTTCTCTGTCTCAAATATATAGATAATAAATTACTTACTCTCACGCTTTACTTCTTTCTTTCTCAGATATATAGATATTCCTATAGATTACCTGATGCTACGTAGATATAAAACTGAAAACTTTTTCTTCAATCAGTCTATCTATCTGTCTACCTACCTCCGTGATATGCATAGAATTATCAGTGTTCATCTCCTTCGCGTACATGTTTAGATACATGAACAGAAGCATCGCTTGATGTTCCAAAGGACGAAACGCCTCATACGAAAACTTTTATCAACGGGAGTAGATTGGTTCGCCTATCGTTCGGTTCAAACACCTTCCCCGTCTTTTGAACAGGAGTAGAGGTTTATCGCTTGTTTCTTGTTTAGGATTGGGTTTCCGGTTCCGTCTCCTAAAGATTTCTCATTCTCTTTAACTCCCAGTAACCTGTTGCATCTTAGTGGCATTATCGCCTTGCTTGGATGAAATGATTAAAATATTCTTCGTCCTAGTTCTTCTCTAAAAGTGTTATTGATATATAAAAATGTACAAACCGTTTTCCCAGAGATATTACTAACTGAAATACAACTGCTTCTGTTGTATTCATGTTTTCTTTCTGCTGGTTTGTTTCGATTTTTATGAAGTTGAAAAAGAAAAATGCCGCTGGCAGTAAAATCATTGGTTAATTGTACTGGATGTATTTTTGGCACGCTGAAAGCATCGTCAATTTTTAATCATAAAGCGTATTTATGACGAGAGAGAAAACAGGGTCGATTCTTTTATCGTTTCAATGCTATTGTTCGCCGGCTTACAAACGCTACGTTATCAAATTGTCTCGTTCATTCTGAACTATGCAAAGTGAGAGAAAACACTTCTCTTTGGAAGAACGCTATTTCCATGCTTCAAGAGCATAACATCTAATTCTCTGACGGGAGACTAAAAGCTACCAAACTGACCTTCAGCCATGTCTATGAGGCTGTAATTATCTACAGACAGATGAGATGTGAGTGGGTTGGTCGCATATATTCTCCGGTAAAAAAAAAAATCTCTTTTCATTATCTTACATGTTATACAGGAGAGAACTGATCGCTGGGAAAGTTGAGGTTTGCAATATGAAGATCGGTCAATAAATTTACGGAATAAAAAAAAAAGATAAGAGTTCAAATACTTCTTTACTTTCAAGTACGTTCTGCGCCCTCCCATTGCACCAGATGGAGGGATCGAGGCCAGCGACGGAGGGGAATTTTTGTTCCTTGCCCGGGTGCACGCGCTCGGTCTCCCCACATTAAACCGACCTTGTGTCACAACCTGACCTCGTGGTGGTGAGGGGGTTTGACTGAATATCTACTCTCACGCCCGACATAGAGTGGTCAGCTCGGTAATTTAAATTCCGTTTTTTTTTTTCAATCTACCCATTGTTATTCCAGATCTCCATCCCTCTTTTGTTTTCCATTTTTGACAGTCTCTCTGTTTAATCCAATCTCTCCGCTTATTCTAATCTCATCTCTATTCTCTCTTTTGTTCCGAAACCAAATTTCGAATGAATTTTCCAATCAGCCATTTTATTCCAACCAACTCACTCTTTTCTTCTGGATTTAAGTGTAGTCTTTTGTGTTGACTTTGCCGTTACGAAAGGCCTGAATCCATCTCTCCACCTTCATGCTGGGATTTAAATAGCAAGGTAGGCTGGCCTCTATAAACTCAGGAAAACCTTCAATTTAAAAACCGTGGGCGGAAGCAACGGGAAACTACACCACTATCTTTCACTGTAGTTCAGAGATAATGAAGAAAATGAAGTTTCCTATGTCCTTAATGCATGTGACACTAAACGCCAAATAAGAAATCGAAAGATAATATTAGAAACGAAGGAAGGCATAGTAAACGGTTATTTGGTGTCTACCTTTTGATATGACAATGAAAACTGAACAATGTTGTCATTGCTGAAAACAATTCAAGTGACAGAGCTGTAATTTTGCATACAAATATAGAGAATAACTTGGACAGTCTTTGAGAAATGAGGAAGTCCTAAGGAGAAGATGAGCTAAAAAAAACCCTATTCGGTTGACCAATAAATAATTTCCGTTCTTGTTTATCAAATCATTTATTTGTTTATCAATTTCCTGTATTGTGGTAATAAAATAAGCACATCCCCTCTGGCTTGTATCCATCCATCACACTAAAACGTTTTTCAGTACTAAAGCTGAATGAGTCAAATAAAGTTTCATAACATCCTACGTAGAATTGTTACTATATTACAGTCTTTCCAAGATGTGGGTCACCATGGTTCTCCACAATTTCCTGTCTTTTGTTAGTCAAAGTTCAACGCTTGCTTGGATGTGTCGTGTAATGGATAATGGCTTGGAATGAGAAATCAGGGACCCAGGATCACCATTACTTTCGCCATATTTGCCCATAATCTAATATAATTTATAACAAGAATTAAATAAATAAGAAGTATTTAAATAAGAACAACAAAAATTCAATAATTCAGTCCGTTTCTGTTGAAAACTGCTAACAATTGTAGTCTGTTTCAAACAGATAAATTGTGTTATAAATGATTCCCATCTTTGTTATCAACTTTATTCCATTATATATTCGCCATTAATTGCAGCTATTTTATGTCTCCATTTTGATATGGCAATGGAACCAGAACAATGTTGTCATATATGAAAACAATTAAAGTGACAAACATGTAATTTTGGAGACAAATGTAGAGAATAACTTGGACAGAGTATGTGAGAAACAAGGAAGTCTTAAGAAGAAGATGAACTAAACAATCTATTTAGTTGACTGGTAAATGATTCCCGTTCTTGTTTATCAAATCTTTTTTGTTTATCAACTTCCTGTATTGTGGTAATAAAATAAGCAGATCCCTCCCATCTCCCCTCTCGCTTGTATCCATCCATCACTATAAAATATTTTTTTCAGTACTAAAGCTGAATGAGTCAAATAAAGCTTCATAACCTTCTACTAAGAATTGTTACTCTATTACAGTCTTTCCAAGATGTGTGTCATCATGGCTCTCAACAATTTCCTGTAAAAGCAAAAAGCACAAAACTGATTGTGGCAAGTATATTCCAATCATATAAAGAGTTTAACTGTAGATCTTATAGTAAATGAATGACTTTGATAGATTTTCTATATGAAGAGAATTATTGATGGATGAGTGGGCAGCAGAACCAATCAACTTCCTTCTTCTTTTATGTAACAAGTCTGTGGTAATAAAATAAGCACATCCCTCCCATCTCCCCTCTCGCTTGTAACCATCCATCACAATAAAATAAACGTTTTTCAGAACTAAAGCTGTCAAATAAAGTTTCATAAGCTTCTACTTATATACGTATATTAGCTGTATGTAAAAGACTAATTTCACCATTACTTTCGCTATATTAGCCTAAAATCTAATATATTTTATAACAAGAATTAAATAGGCAGTATTTAAATAGGAATAACAAAAATTCTATAATTCAGTCCGTTTGTGTTGAAAATGACTAACTATTGTAATCTGTTTCAAACAGATAAATTGTGTCATAAATTATTCCCATCTTTGTTTATCAACTTTATTCTTTAAAAAAAAGTACAATTACTTTTTATTAAATTATATATTACCTGCTGTTTGCAATCAGTTTTTGTCAGGTAACAATCAGACTTACGATATACTCTAAGTAGAATTCCGCAGGTTCTGATGTGAAAAAGTTTCGATGAATTAACGAATCTAGTTCTCATTAGAAAATCCCCCCCTACATCCCATGAAAGCGTTTTGCAGCAAACAAAAAAAAAGCGATCAAATCAGTTGCTGCAAGTTTACGTGAATATGGCAGGTGGGTTAAAATAGATTGAATTCAAAGTTGTATTTCGCTTTGCTGTATGCTGCTTTGCCTGTATACTGCTTTGCTGTATGCTGCTTTGCTATGCCATGTAAGCGAACAATATTTTGCCCTACTTACAAAGGCAGAGCGTCTCTTAACTAAACGTTTATGGACAGCTGCTGAACGTATAAATGTACATTTAGTGTTTCACTGCATTTTAAGAACTCTAAATCAATAATCACCCGGTAACCCCAACACATACACGACATTACCTTTCTTGTCTGGTGCTCAGATTCTGGAGTCGTTCCTGGAGATTTATCTTTGTCAATCCAGAGCCTTTTGCGTCAAAACCTGTCTTATGATAGATTAATTCAAATTTATTCTTACTGGCACGTATTATTAATAGTTAGGATGATACATTTGTCATTACATTTGGTTCCCGGAGAGGAAAATTACTTATGGCTCAACCTAATCTATCTATCTATCTATCTATCTATCTATCTATGTCTGTTCATATCTATGTCTGTTCATATCTATCTATCGCAGTCTTTTCATGTTCATCTATCTATAGATCATTCGCAGTCTTCATGTTTATCTATCACTCAGTCTTTTTATGTCTATCTATCTATCTATCTATCTATGTCTGTTCATATCTATGTCTATTCATATCTATCTATCTATCTATCTATTATATGTTAGTGCACTCCATTTAACTGCCACATATGATGAGTCATTAGGATGATACATTCGTTGTCACAATTGGTTCCCGAAGAGGGAAATTACTTATTACTCAACATAATCTATCTATCTATCTTTCTATCTATGTCTGCCCATATCTATCTATCTATCTAGAATATATATTTTACAAACAGATAAATTGTGTCATAAATTATTCCCGTCTTTATTTATCAATTTTATTCTTATAAAATAGTACAATTACATTTTATTAAATTATTTCTCTGTTTTATCGTCAAGGTGAATGATACACAGAGAAGAATGAGTGCTTAATATATTTATTCAGCACCAGTATCCGGTGCTAACAGATACATACAAAAAAACACAGAACAATAAGTTACAAAACAATTAACAAGACAACTTACAAGGAATAGAGGAGGGTCAAATGCTGTATTGCCAAAGTAAGATCAGTTCGAATATTAATCAGCTTAGTATCAATTTATTAATCAACTGTTGAAGTCCTTAATCGTAGATTGTTTAAGGCTATGAGCCAGGCCATTTGGTAGAGGGCTGAAGGACTGTTAGCTCCTCTACAACACTATCTATTATATATTAGTGACTCTATTTAACTGCCACATATGATTCGTCATTAGGATGATACATTTGTTGTTACAACTGGTTCCCGAGGTGGAAAATTACGTATTACACGACCTAATCTATCTATCTATGTTTGTGCGTTCTACTTAACTGCCACGTATTTTTAATAGTTAGAATGATACATTCTCTATTAGAATTCGTTGCCCAAGACGAAAATTACTTATGACTAAATCTAATATATAGTAATCAGAAAGAAAGACCTTCGTTTGATTGGCTAATATGTTTGATACGGCTTATCAATATATTTAGATTGCAATAATTTCTTAGATAATGGTTATTTTAGTGATATAAGTATTACTAAATAATTCATAGTTTGCGTAGAAGAGGGGAAGTGGTACCTTTCCCAAATATATTTGCGCCTAAGTGAATATAACGAACCCAACTGGAATTGGAACTCGGCTCTCCGATTAACAATTTCAAGCCATTATCCATTGAGACACACGTCCAATCTTACTTATGTTTTAGAGGGCGTTTCAGAGTCTGATCAGCTCTGAGGGGGTCGATTTGGTGAGGTCAGTATGAAAGACCCGAAACTGCCCAATGATCCATCTCCAGAACATCACTGACGACGCCCTCTAGAGCTAAAGAGCGTATATTCAAAGCACTTTTACATCACCTGATATTCCTAAGTGGTCACCCATCTAGGTACTGACCAGCCACGACGTTGCTTAACTTCGCTGGTCATACGGTAACCGGTGTTTCAACGTAATTTGATCATAAGCCAAAGAGATATCTGCTTTTTTTTTTTAATACAACTTTCAATTACAAACTCTATGAGTTCTTGGTTGGGCATAAACTTGAACTGTAAGCCTCATTCAGCATAGTTGCAGTATAAAACCACAGGTTGGTTCTGCGGATGCTGAAAAATGCAAATGAGCCTGAATAAAAAAAAAATGTCAGATCGGCTGTCGGAGATTTCTTTGAGTGGACTTCGTTCGGTAATGAACTGAAAAACAAGAAGTTTCCGCATGTAATCTTTATTGACGACGTGTTCAGCCACACAAATAAATTCTTTACTTTCCTATGAGAAATAGCTGAGCTTAACTAGTGCGTATGTGGTAAAGAGTGGAATTTGTGACAGAATTCACTATTCTATTTCTCTCTCTCTCTCACTCTCGCTCTCTCTCTCTCACTCTCTCTCCCCCTCTGTGTGTGTGTGGTGCTGGTGGGGGGGGTTCAGATAGTTACTAGATAATATTCACTTACTTCAACCGTCTTTCTTAAATACTAGCCTCTTTCTTTTTTCTCAGATATATAGATGCTAAACGACTATATATATATATATATATATATATATATATATATATATATATATATATATATATATATATATATATCGGATGTAACAGCAAAAGTGTCCAAATCGTGTAACATTATAATTCTCCATCCCACTAAAAAAACACTAGGCAGTTTCTTTTTTCCAGATTTCCTGATAAGACGTTTAGCCATCTTCACGCAATTTATCGTAAGAATCACTGAAAAACGTTATTCAGATAGAAAGAGAAGAGGTTGAAGTCGTTTTGTCTCAGCCCCACTTTCCAAATGAGCAATGGCAGAAGGAAAATATCATTCAGGCCTTTAGTAATGGTAACACCATTCATACTCTGGCTTCCATTGTCAAAGTCCATTCAATAACAATCAAAATAACGTTGGATAAGTTTAAAAAATGAAGAACAGTAGAGAGGAAAACTGGATTAGGCGGTCACAACAGGAAGAGGAATTATTATTTCAACTTATAGCTAAAGAGATCTATTAAGAAAGATCCACTTCAATCCATAAAACGTTTGGCACGTCAGAGAGGAGTTTCAGTTATGACAGTTCAAAAAGAAGTCAAAAAGGACTTGAAAATGAAATCGTACGTGAAACGTGTGAGGCATCTTGTTACTCCAAGACAGAAAGATTAGAGAGAGCGAATATCATCTTGAATAAGTTGGAAAATGATCCTGGAATAATATATATATATATATATATATATATATATATATATATTTATTTGAAATTTATTTCAAACCTTCATGAGCTTCCGATCCTTAGCTATAATTTTCTGAGCTTAATGAAAAATTGTACAAAGTTTCATTGGTCCTGAGCGGTTTCGGTTAAGCTGTTAGCCATTTTCAGCGGATATTTTTTATATACTTCTATAATAAATTGTGTGTCAGAGTTATGAGGTATTACTTGAAAGTTGCTGAAAGTAGACATATTCTTACTTTCCAGATCCGCTCAGTACGCCGTGACAGTGTTCATAATTAATTCTGTCAAGGGTTGGTTTCTTATTTTTATTAAAAACGACGTTAAAAAATGATGGCAATGCTCGAAAATGGCGCAAATTTCATTTACGTATTTAAAACGAAAACGAAACAATATTTAAATAACATTTTTTTTAAACCTAGCATTATTTCTTGTTACTATAAATTGTATTTTATTGGGTACACGTGTTTGATTTGACATCTCATTTTATGGAACTTTTCTAAAACGGTAAAACGAATAACAAGCTGCCAAGATTGCGAAGTCCTACTAAAGAAAAATGGTGCCTCCCGACCGGAAGCTAGTGGATACGGATTCGTAGAAGACCCAACGGATGATCTACGTTCCTTAAATAGGTAACTTGAAATTTGCTTTATCAAAGTAGGGTCTCACGTGGGTTAAATTACTAAGGAGCAGATTCCTTATTGGTAAAATCGATACAGGTTCGATTTCTGTTGGGAGTCACAACTTCTCATTAGTACTGCTTGATCTAGGCTGGTTGTTACAAATTTCAATTGTTTAAAAATATAAAAAACAGCAGGGATAGCAAATTAAATACGTATATCGAATAAAATCAATTTCGGTTCGAAATTCCAAAGTATATCACCTGAAGAAGTTCGGGGCTTACAACGGCCGAAACGTCGTGAATATGCCAATCAGGATGATGATAACAGTTCGAACGATGTATATATTGTAAATAGTTTAAGTAAAACATCTCAGGAATATAGATAAATAGATTTTTGTGTGTAAATACTTTGTCATAATTTCAGGTCTCTTATTTCATAGCGAATCGCAATATTTATTGAGGACTTTTTGTTACCAGCTTCACTATATTTGGATCTTACTAGTTATCATTGTATTTTGTCGTATGTGCGTGTTTGCGTGTATATTTGTGCGGGCACGCGCATGATAACCTTGCAGATTCCACTTTGAAGTGCAGTGACACGGCTTCCCCCGACTAAGCCTTCCTGCTGTGGTTTCAATAGCAAGTAGATGTTTACAGGATAGACTTGCTAACTCCACGCCTAACCGGATTTGAATTCAGAGTTGTCTTTATCCGAGCTAGAGGAAGAAGAAATTGTCAAAAGGTATTTACGCATTAATGAACACAACGGCCTATATATATATATATATATATATATATATATATATATATATAGTTTTTTTTATCTGATGTATAAATTATCTTGCCTATTAATGTGTAGACATGCATGTAATTATCTGAGATTTAATATATATATATATATATATATATATATATATATATATATATATATATATATATATATATATATATATATATATATATATATATATATATATATATATATATATATAAAAACCACATGGATGTTAATTTTTTTATTCTGTTATAGATTTTTATAAAGGCCTAGGTTAATTTGAAAAATTGAGAACTCTTTTAAAAGGTTAACTTAATAAAATTAAAGATATATTCTTGTGAATTATATTGAAAAAAAAAAATATATATATATATATATATATATATATATATATATATATATATATATTATTAAAATGGACAAAGTCCGACAATTATTTTAAGACATTTTTATGTTTATCTATAAAAAAGAATATATAAACATTAAAATGTCTTAATATATATATATATTTATATATGTATAATTAAAAGCTTAATCACAGTCTAGTGTGTGTGAGCGCGCGCATGTGTGTGTGTGTGTGAGCGCGCGTGTGTGTGTGAGTGCGCGTGTGTGTGGGCGTGTAATGTTCACTTATCTTGTTTCTTATCTGAATTTCTTAGAATAACATCCAGTCTCCTGAAGAGAGGATGTAATTCCACAAAACTTGGACAAAGTTAACATTTAATTTTATCTATTGATGATGCTGAGGCTCTTGATATTGTACATTGTTTTTAAAAAATGCTTGACTTAAAAACAACTTTCAGAAATAACCAGATTGATAGGTTTTGTCAAAATGCAATCTTTGTCATTGTCTTCTCTCCCTTACTCCCCCATCTCTCTCTCTCTCTCTCTCTCTATATATATATATATATATATATATATATATATATATATATATATATCCAGAGACGGATATGCAATGTAATTGGCCCTAATCTGGCATCTCGTCTGCAGTCGTTCTCTCTGCCAGACGTGCCGTCGCCTCCCTCGGTCTTTTTTACAAATACTTTCACGGTAAATGCTCCGATGAGCTGCTTTCGCTTGTTCCCAGATTTCGTGACTTTGAGCGCTCAACTAGGCTGGTATCTCGCTCTCACCCTTTCACCGTTGAAACTGTTAAATGTAGCCGTGTCTTCTATTCCAATAGCTTCTTGTCTCACACTTCTCACCGGTGGAACTCCCTCCGCATTTCTTATTTTCCTGATAGCTATAATCTCCAACTATTCAAATCTAATGTCAATCGACGTCTCCAGATGCCTTGATCTGTCCCCTATCCTTCCATTCATCCTTTCCTCTATCACTCCTATTTGCTCTCGCTCCAACTCTCTGTAACTCTTTGCGTGCTAGTGGCTTCCCGCCTTACTTGGTGTGAAATGCTTATATATATATATATATATATATATATATATATATATATATATATATATATATATATATCAAATGAAAGAAAGAACAGATGGAGTAAAAATCCACTGTTGGTGAAATTTAGTTTTTAAAAAAAGTGCTCAATACAAAAGTAGAGCATTATATTATTATTATATACTTTTATTACAAGAGGTTATGTATAGCGATTTCAAAATGTTTTTATCATAATCTCATATATATATATATATATATATATATATATATATATATATATATATATATAGGAGTACGAACCTAAAGAGCCAAACAAATAACCTAGGTTTCACCTACGCAGTTTGCCTGGTACTTTAGGTTCGTAGTTAGATTTTGCTCTGCTTAGTGTATTGAGCACTTTGCTTAGTAATTTTTACTTTACTTGTGTCGGAGGTTTTTTTCTTTGGACTGAGCTTGGATTCTGGTCGATTGTTTTCGCCTGAATTACATGTTCTGAGTTCTTTCTTTTTTTATTCCTTATTTTTCCTTGGGTATTGTTTTGTTCATTTACAAACCAAAACACCTAAGGTTTTTTTTACCAGAGGAGTATACTTACTTATTTTTACAAGATTATTATTATTATTATTATTATATATATATATATATATATATATATATATATATATATATATATATATATATATATATATATATATATATATATGATGTAAGTAATGTTTTTGTCACGTAATTAGAGGTTTTTATGTTACCTTCAGCATCCAGAATCCAGAGGTTCGTAGACGGACCCTCCGGGAATCAGTCCGTTCACTCATCAGGGGTTATTAGCAATTGACTGGTTATAATTCTCGATTTTTCTTTTTTTATATGCACTTTTAAATGGTGCAAATTATTTATTTTTTGTTTTTTATTCAGTGTGTGTGTGTGTGTGTGTGTGTGTGTGTGTGT